GTCGATCGAAAAGGCGGGCGAGTAACCGCGGTTACTAAAAGTTGATCAATTTGACAACCCTTTTGAAAACTTATAAAGAGCAAAACAGCTTTGGTTTCTCATATTATTCATGGACAAGGGTTATGAAGTAATGGTAGGGTTACATCAAAGGTACACATTTTAAGATTACGTAGAAATACACCGAATTTTTTCATGAAAAACAGTTTTGAAAACTTAATATCAAGCATCAAATCTAAAAACACGGTTTCAAGTACATGTATTCATTTGTTAGAAAGAGAAATGTGACCCAGGAGAGCGGTATGTGACGAAATATCAGAAACTATTTTCGTATTTCAGACCACCGAACTCTTACGTATACAAAATCCCTGAAATACCCTCATCATTTATTCCCGGCCTTCCATTTAATCCAAATTGATATGAAATCGGTTAAACAATGTATGTAACACGCAAATCGAACTCTGAATTTTTTTTTTCAGTAAAACATTAGAAACAATATTAAATCAAAGGAATGGATTTTAAAGGGGGGGGGGGGGGTTGAGCATTTAAAATCTGTAATTTATTGGAGAGAAAGTTAAACAGCATTCAAAACGCAATACAAAGTTTTTGCTGTAAAGAGAAAATGCCTAAACCATATTGTAAAATAATTAATGCAATTAATGTCATTAAACTACTATAGTTTTGAAAATGCCCAGTGCTACTATACTCCTTTTTGGAAATCTTTTCACTGCTTGGACAGTGTCCGTCTTTCTTAGTTATTCAAACATTAGACATTTTTAGAGAGAGAGAAAGAGATTTTATCCCCCCCTTACCTGTTCTGATCTTTAATGCCTTCATGGGCGAATGTGTGAAAGACAAACATTGTCACCACCATCACAATACGTAGTCTCATGTCTTCAAAGACTACAACAAGAAAGGATTTATATGATGTAAAATTAATAAAAATGGATTCCAGTTGACTTAATTCATAACTTAGAGGCACATTTGTCTACAAAGATGAAGAGACCCCATCCTAGATTTATGTTCTCTTTATGTGTGAAATAGCTAATGAAAACAAATCATTTATTATAAACATAGTAATGACTTTAGATCAACGTTGTGTGGACAAATTTTTCATTCCAACAATCACGAAACCCCTATTTTTTTCTTTTAACGGGGAATGGTTAAAATAAACATTCTTATATAATTATCTTATTTTAAGGACACTTGCTATGAACAAAAAAAAAATTGGATGCATGGATTGGATTGGTATAATTTTTTCCAGACTGGTTGTAAATGATTCAAGTTTCGAATTCCTAATTTGTTGATTTTCCTAATTTGTCGATTTTCTTTTATGTTCAAAAATCTTACTTTTTGCCTTTCTTCTTATAAAATTCTTCACCATTTTTTATAATCTTGCAAGAGACTTCTACGAAATCTTAAAAATTAAACTTCATGTGGCTAAACTTATTCATTTTAATTGTATAAACAAAGACACAATTTACCAACAACTAAAATTAACTGTGTTTATATATAAGTTCCTTTTTCGCTTTTTTGACACAGAAAATCCACCAAGACTAAAAGAGGGAATTATTATTTACTTTAATTTCCTAGCCTTAAGCGAAAGAATAAAAGAAAATATTTTAAACCCCCCCCCCCCCCAATGAATAAAATAAAATATAAATTGAAAATAAATAAAGAAAAAAAATATGAATCAATCAAACGAAAACAAAACAGAAAAAATATTTCTTTTTATACGCATGAAAGATATATTTTTTCATGCAAACCATCTGATACTGGTAACCAACTGAATATCAACGTTTACATTTAAAAAAAAAATGGTTTGTAGCTGCTGTAGTTTTCCTTACCTCTGCGTTGTTCTGTCGTAATTAAGTGTCCTATGTTAGCGACATTTATACAGGGTGGATTATTTCGTATGTCGTTTAGGGATTTGAACTGGGAGTCCTAATTACATCCCCTACGTAACGTGCCGTGATTGGTCCACATTTTCCATAATTTCTTTGACAGTCACAAATAGGGTGAACAAATTGTATATTCCACTAGTCAACTAACGAATTTGTCTTAATCAAGAAAATCTATCGAAATATTACGTAGTGTTGCAATTGACGGGATTTTGCCGATAAGACCACCCCCTTCTCTTAGATATCGAGTTCATTTTGAGCTCTAACGAGTTCTGGGGGACATTGATAAAATGGTTTCTAATGAAAAACCTCTGCAATACGACGTTATCGAGGGGGGATTATGCGGAGACAATGCGGGAAATAAGATGCTGATTTTTTTTTCCAGAACGACGATGTCGCAAAACAGATCAAAATAATTACAACTGATCAACACTTGATTACCTTTACTATATCATATGCGAGGTGAAATCAGTCCCAACCAATCCGTTCTCATAAAACCGTTCAGAAATAAATACACGTTGTCCAAATCCGAATCCTAAACTTACTCATATATTTTCATTGACGTTCTGTTTTGTTTTAGTTCGCACTGAAATGTTTATTTCTATGTTTACGTGTAATTGTAACACTTAATGAGGGTTTTGTTATTATCCTTCTATAAACTTTAATGATGTTGTTTTTCGGGCAAACTTGAATTCAACTCTAAAGGAAAATCAAAACCAAACGCTACGATTTATACGATTTTTATAATGAGCTCGATGATTCCATAATTATGGTTAATTATTTAAACTTAAGATAAATCCCGAAGTTTTCGTCAATGTGATTAACTTAGAGATAATGAACTTTGATGACCCCTCAAATATCAAACAGTTCTTAAACATCAACAAGTATAGTTTAATTTGCTTGAAAATCTTGTTGCTTTCTAGTTTGTACCACCTTACTCGTATTGTGGTGGCACTTATAACTTATGAGCGACTATATTTTCCATGTAAAAGCAGGAAAATTTTTGTTCTACTTACCTTGTCGCGGGGTCCTGGTCGACAAATTATCCTTTGAAGTATACTACCCCCCTCTTTCTATAATGGCAAACGAAATTGAGATCTGTTACTTTATAAAGTAAAGCAAAAGTTGGTGTATGGCATTGTCATGAATCAAGAGTGATACGATAGTCAGCTGAAATTTACTGTTCAATGTATATATCTGATTCTGAGCTTTAAGACCATTTGTCTCAATCTTGGTCTATAAAACTGTGAATTATTCTCTTATTCCAGATACAGTGTTACAATCGATTCTAAGTATAACACACGAAGGAACAACACGGTATTATATGGTGCATTAAGGGCCTAGCTATACATGAATCTGTCATGCATTATGTCATTTTATACTTTATTTTACACAAGGGAAAATTGAAACAAGCAAACAAACAAAAAAATGAATCATGCCAATTTTTAATTAAAAAAAAAAGGTAGGGGTGTTACAGAAATTCTATTGATATTCATTAAAAAATAGATACCCGATTTTGAATCGCAGTTTCCTGACAATGATTTCTGATAACAAACACTGACAATGGGATACTGGTAGTATAGAAAACAGAAATGAAATAGATATTACATGTATATATCACATAGAAGACTCACAAAAACAATATTTCCCTCATCTCAAAGTCATTTATTAATTTCATGTATCATATATATAATAAGTTTGCATGTATATACAAATCAACAAACTAAAATTCTAGAAAATAACTCCAAGGTTCGTTATTTTTAAATGTTTGTTTGTGGTGATTTGAATGTTTCACATAAAAATCATGACGCGATTTAATTTTTAACCCCCCTCCACGCCCCCCCCCCCCCGAAGGGTGATATAAAACAAGAACAAACACAAATGAAAATTAAAAAATGTAAAAAGTTATTTGTTTTTAATTTCTTTGATAAAAAATTAATACATTTTCCACACAAACAAAATTGTAACTCTTTTCGAAAATCTTTTGTTGTTCCAATTTTTAAAAAATCTGATTTGTTGGTTTTTCATTGCATTGTTTGCTTGTATATTTGTTTTTGCTTCATTAATTAATTAATTAATTAATTAATTAATTAATTAATTAATTAATTAATTAATTAATTAATTTATTGTTTGTTTGTTTGTTTTGTCTTGCTTTTTAACAATAAACATTTTACACTGATAGAAAAAAAATAATGCAATATTTAATGAAAGCTTATATCTGGAAAAATAATGTTAACTACAGTAAAAATAAAACATAATGATTTAAAAAGATTTTTGAATGTACAGAAAAAGACAAAAAAGTAAACTCTTAAACTGTAAATAATTTGATAAAATAAAGATATGTATTATCACACGACATAACAACTATGTATATCCATATTCTGTTTCATATAATCTTAAATACCCTCCATAAAACCAAGAAGTAAACTGACATAAATTAGGAGTCAAGTACAATTCATCAGTATTTGTTTATCATATTTCAATTAAAGAGCGTTTTTATATTCATGTAATTAAAAACCCTTACTTAGGACTGCTGGCTTGTAATCCAATCCCGGGTACTATGAGGGCGTTGACACAATCAGAATGAAGCGAGGAGGTTTACCTCATCATCTTCTGTCAAGAGGAGGTCGATGTATTTGATAGCATCTCTGTAGGAAGTTCTACATCTGATATGGTATCAGAGGGACCATAATATTCATTAACGATCAATAAGTCAGGTAATTTACTTAATTATTTATTGTTGGTGGATACTAATATTAATAAACTAAAGACTACTAAGTATGTACATGTGTACTGCAGTAACTGTGTGGAGACGCTCCAAACGACATTGCCCTGGAATGTCTTTGAATCAACAAGGAATAAATCCGTCATAGCATGAATTGAAAAATCGAGCAGAATTTTGATTTACCAAAGCATATTATATACAAGTACTTTTTGTTATAAAAAATTATTCTCCCCAATATCTTGTGGGATCCCAATTAGAATCTTCTTATCTATCTATCTTTTTTCTGATAACTTACTATGACGTCAGATATATTGTGACGTCAAAGCACTGTTACGTTACGTTCTGTGATGTTATCTTAAATAATCAATTCGTTGTGGGGACGTTGTTTCCAAGCAACACCGATCGTGCAAAACAGCGTATGGAGCCGTTTTTGAAGAAAACATTTCAGTAAATGATGCATCGAGCATACCAGCCGTTGACACCAGCTAATAATATTTACTTGAGGCAAAGATGGGATCAGGAGTTCTACGAAGAACACAGGAAAAAGATTTCCTTAGGCAAGTATTGTAAAATTTTGCATGAAGTCCTTGAAAAATGAATTGTTTCTTTTGTCGAACGAGAACAATATGCAGTTTATAGCTCACCTGGATCAATTTAAGCGCAAGTATGCGGGGCTGATTTAATTCGATCATGTCTTTCTGTCGGTTTTGCTAATTTTTCACAAAGTGCTACCATTGAAAATATTTGATTTACAGTATTCATTATACATGTAAGTTATGATCCATATGTCATTATCTACATGTAATACTCACAGACAATTTATTTAAGTAACATACAACTTCACGTATTCTTTCAGCCAAGTCGGTAATAGACAACAATCCACCAAAGACTTACATGCATCTTCACATCAAACTTAAGAAATTACAGGTAAAACTACGCATATATGTATACATCAAATATTGTATTTTTATAGTCTGAGGCCACGGACATACTCAATAAATGCCTTTGATTGTATTCATTTTTACTTTCACGACAGATGGAGGGCGAGAGACTAGCTATTGTGGAGAGAGACAATCGAATATTACTAGAAAAAATGGCGCACATCATGAGAACGGGCGGAAGAGTGGATAACCGGAAGGAGGATTATAAGCAAAAAAGGTAGGGATCAAGGTACACATCACACCTGCCACCATACAGTACAAATCGTCAGTAATAACAACAAGTATAGCATTTTCCCCCAAAACTTGATGTGTTTAGCAACAACCTTAAACAGTAAACTGAAATTCATATATCGGGACGTATTATTTCTTAGTGTTAGTAGTTCTTGTCTTTGTATTTCTTCAACAGAGTTTTACAAATCTCGTTCTCGAACCCAGTGGGACCGAGAAAAAACTTTGCGATATCCGTGGATTCGAGATACCCGGGTTAAATTACTTAGAGAATAACGGATTGGGACTTCCAAATCACTTTGACATATCCATGGCATTCAGGATATCAGTGTTCGAGATACAGAAGTTCAACTATAGTTGCTATAAAAGAAATAAAGTATGAGTTTTATTAGCCTGTTTCCCTGCATGACCTTTCCATAATGCCGCGCAAACTTCTTGAGTAGTTCTTGGTTTTGTATTTTTTCAACAGAGTTTTACAGACATTATCCCTACCATATAAAAGACCGTGCAAAACAAAGTTAGAAAAGAAGAATAAACACACATTTTAATGAATGCATTTAATTTCTGTTAACCATGAAAATAAAGAAACACTGGTTGCTATATAAAAAAAATTAAGTGTGTTTCATTATAGCCTGTTTCCCTGGCCTTCCCATAATGCTGCGTAAACAAAGTTTGCGCAGCATTATGGGAAGGCCAAGGAAACGTGCAATTTTCATTTGTTCGTTTTGTCAATTTTTTTGAAGATTGGAAATCTAGAACGAAAATTAGATCACCAGAAAATTATCTCCCTTGCCTTGAACAGCATTTCAACCAATGAAATAATTGAAAATGTTCACTTCATGCATTTTCTACCAATCACAAAACATATGCAAAAGAGAGGAAGTGTATAGTCCGAAGAATGTAAAATATTCCAATTTGTATATCATCTTCCAAGGAAGACGGTAACAAAGATCCAACAAACATGGCTCTCAACAGCACGTATATAAAAGCAGAAAAAAAAAAACGTAATAAAATAGCAACAGTTAATATAACAAACCAGCCAACAACAAAATAAACACAATAATCAATTAAAACAGAATAAACACTACATGAGAGCAACAGTATAACCACTCCATGAAAACAACACAATAAACCAGTAAAAATAAACCTAATAAGAAACCAACAGCAAGAACAACACAACCAGTAACAAAGCGAAGAATAATTTAACTTGAAAGCTATCAACATCATACACACAAAATAAAGAAAGACTAATATATACTGAAAAGCAATCTTTCTTCTATTCCATTTTTTCTAAATATTCACAGCCTCAATAAAACCAAGAGACAACGAGAACTCCTGCGAATAACCCACGAGAACTTTGCTATTTTGAAAAGATTAACCGCCAAGGAACCTCACTACCATCATATGCGATGGCAGGATGAGTGGAACGTAAGACACACGTGTACATGTATCATAGTTCTTGCTTTTTGACAATTTTTTTTTCATTTGGATATACATATGTATTTCTAATTTCTTAACTAAGTACTGCTACTTAAAGGGTAGAAGATCTCTGTTGCTCGGACAATGCATTAACAATTCCAGTTCTAATATGCAATTAATTTAAATCTTTGAATTTTATTTATTTATTTATTTTTGCCATGAACGATAGCATATTGGCCATGATATAACAGACTGGATTTGGAAATTCGATCAATCTAACACTTGATATTAATTTCAGATCAATCAAAGATATATGATGAACATTTCAAAGTTTCCTCACTACTGGAAGAACAAACATCTTGTCCCATACGAGGTTCATAAAGAGAAAATAGCAGATGCCAACAGGCGTATCAGGAATCGGGTAACGATTATATTATTATGTTAAATATAGAAATATGAATACTTAGGTTGACCTATTATTAAATGTTTTAATTTAAGCAATAGGGTTGTGCAATGTTGTAAACTATAATAAACCAAAAATTCATACTCTCCAAATAGAATCCCTCTAAAAACTTTCAAAGAAAGAACAATCGTAATACATAGATAATGAACTGTGTTATATGTAAAGATTTTCTGGTAATTTAGAACAAAAAAACATCGTTGATTGTAGCAAGAACAACACATAAACAACAAAGGATCTAGGCCCGATGCCAGTGGATCTAAGGGAAGTGTCCGTGTTTCCAATCATTCGGGTCATTCTGGACTTCAGAGCCCCCAAATCTGTGTTCAATCCCCCTCATCCCCCCATGTTGAAGACTGCATCGTTAAAGAAATCAGTTAAAAACTAGGACATCTTTATCTTATCCTTTTTTTTATTATTTAAAAAAGTATTTAAGAAAGAATAAATAATTTAAAGTATTTCTTAAACATCAAAATAAAGGTATATTTTAATAGAAATAAATATTGTCATAGAAATTATTTTTTGCCAAGTTTTCAAGCCATATATATTTTATAAATATATAAAGAATGAACGAATATACACGAGTATTACTTCATTTATTCCTCCTTTCAGTATCAAAAATCGGATACTCAAACAAGTTTCCACTGTGGCATATGTGCTGGGTATACAGTATATTACATGCATATCACAGATAATGTACAGAATATATACATATATAAATGCATATCAAAATTAAAGACAACAGCCTCCCTTTGTGGTAAACATTGAAAAATGTGGACGAATGAAAATGCAATTGTAGTGGAAGTGTTTCTATTTGTACGGAACTTGCATTCCCAAAGCTGCTTCATGTTCACGAGCCTTCATTCGAAGTGACGTAATACTTCCGGTGCGTTGAGATGAATCGACAAATGAGGACCCATATCTTCCGAAAATGGACATGGTAGCTGCATAAGTCAAAGGATTCAGTCCATAAAACGGAAAAGTGGACGGGAAGTATGGCACATGGGGTTTTGTCAGATTAAGGGGCATTGCTTCATCCTCGTCACTAACAGGTTCTTTTTTAGTTGAATCAAAAAGTTTTGGTATAGACACCTATTATAAGATGTATACAAATTAAGAACAATCGTAGGCGTACAAAAAATATTATCTATATATAGTACATGTGTACATAATAAAAGTGATGACCATCTCACCTGGAATGGCAAAGGTGATACGTCGCCCCGTAGAGTAGAGGTTTTAGGGGCGGGTACGTAATGTACTTCTTTTAAGTCTTGCAGACCCCCAAAGTTACCAAGTTTTTCATATTTCCTCCACTTTGCCCGTCTGTTTTGAAACCAGATCTGAATAACAAAACAAAAACATGAACCATTATAAAACATCTATCATTCACATAGGAAAGTTTTGTAAAATGTTTTCATTTACATTTGAAACTCAAGAAGAAAAAGGGCAAGAAAACAGTTTTCAAATTTATCTTCAATAGACATAATAAGATTTTTATGTGTCTCTGTATGATTAACGCAGACAAAACTATTGTTCGGACCTGAACCCTGGCCTCTGGGAGTCCCGTTTTCTGCGACAGTTCCTCTCTGGCATTCACATCTGGATAATGTGTAACACGGAAAACATTTTCCAGGCATTTAAGCTGATCAGCAGTAAAAGTAGTCCGGAACCTCCTCTTCTTATGAGAGTCCATGCTTACATCCGGTTCTGGTGAATTTGATTTCCGTTTGAGTGCTGCCTCGGAGATTGAAAACGAGTCTGGGGTTCTACAGGAGAATTTAGGGGATACTGGCGGTGATGTACTGACTCCAGGCTCCATTTTCTCTACAAGAAATGATTATGCTTATGTAAATTCAAAGAGAAGTCATAGAATGTATAAAGTGAATTATGTCCTTATAATCATTGATTCCCAGCAGTGATTATTTATTTATGATATAGATAGAAATTATTACCTCTCCACATAACCAACCATTGGAGGAAGACACGTGCGCATTTGTGCAATTTAATCACACTAATTAAAGGAATAAAAGTTTTATGGAATAAAGGAATGTCATTGAATTGCTATTGAATATGCCAATACCAACTTTGAAGAACCCTTCCTTAAATTTAGAGATAGCAATTTTGATCAAATTGATCTCGCACCTACTCGAAAAATGACAGTGCTTAGGAAACAATATGGTACGGTTCAAAGACGAATTTATGCGGCGATCAAAATCTTTCCCTCGCAACCAAAGAGACGATGTTTACTGAGTTGAAAATAAATACCTTGTCGGTTAAGAAATATTGCAACAATGGCTTTTGAAGCTGCAATGATATCTCGGGTGATTTACTGATTATTTAGACAACAGCGACAGAAACGGCGAATTGTACATTATGTATTGTTAATTCTATAGTCAGCTGTGCGGCTAATGCATTTGGTATCTTGAGTACATGTAAACATTCATCTAATTAAATGTGATGACGTCATGAAATCTCTGAATCTTTTAAAATATTGATTTGAAATTTTCTTACTCTCAGAATAATTTCAATTCCTTTTTTTTTTTTTTTTCGAATTCTGATACTTATTTTGATTGATAGGTACAGTTCCAAAACTTGTAAAATAAAGTTTTTTCCCTTAAAGATTCTGAATTGAATACCTTTTGTACTTTTTTTTTTTTTTTTTTTTTTTTTTAAACAAAAGAATCCATATTTCAGCTTTTGACTTTTTCCCCCATTAGATAGCCAAAAACTAAGTAGATTCAACTAAATGGCATTTTAAATGTTACTCATCCAGGCTAATTTAATGTGCACGGACAAAGTAGTACCAAAAAAAAAAATAAATATAAATAAAGAAAAATCATCTCTATTTTCTAGTTAACTTGTAACCTGTTCGCTTTAAAAGTTTCGGAAATAACAAAATTCAAACATATATATGTTGCTCTTATCTCTTATCACCGTAGTAAAACGATTATATTTTGGTCCAGTACTTCAAATATCATTGAAATTGCAATGATGACAATTCGGTGTTGTAAAATATATTAGAATAAGCGTATTGGGGTCAGATGGACATCATCGAATTGACTTGTTGAAAGTCTTCTGTCTTCTCCCGACTTTGAAGACTCTATAATTTATGGACCATTCTTCCTTTCCTGGCTTGAGAAAAAGCACATTTTCTTAAAATCTTTTATTTGGGATCTCTTTAAAGAGGATTAGAACAAAACCCATTCTTATTAAACTTTTTTGAACCATGTTTGATTAAATTAACACTTTAAATCCTCAATTACCCAATAAAAGAGGTTTCTGTTTGATATCTCAGTCTGAACAAACGCGAGCTTCAATTTTAAACGACATAAATTACAATTTTGCAAACACGTTCATGGAGTTTCTTCTTGTATCTGCTTGTGAGAGGGTCAACTGTAATTTATAATTTTGATAAGAATTTTCAGAGCTGTTTTTTTACGAGGATGAATCAAATAAAAAAAAAAGAAACGGTGTAATTTCTATCGGTTGACAGTTCCCTATGTTGTGCTGCCAAACATGATTGCATGGGATTTAGTTGTTAGAAATTGAGTATATTTTTCTCCGGAATTTTAATAACGTCTATGTACATTTAGTGACAAAGAAGTTGTTTTCTTTGTCAGTTTATTTCATTGTTTTTAAGAAATGGATTTAAGTTTTGAAGATTCATGAGGTACATGAACTACGACGCTTCACGCCGACATATTTATCATGAAGCGCGTTGTACGAGTATATATAATAAAATGGATTTTTGAATTCCTTAAGAATTAACAAAATATAACTCTCTTCGTAAGTAAGTTTAATGCACATAGAAAAATCATTATATTATAAATTAAAAAAAAATATATGAAAAAATATACTATATAAATTAAGTTTTATCATTGAGGATAGTACAATTTTAGAAGGTATTGGTTTGTTTCAAATGATTTTATGGTGGGAATGTAACAGCCTGGTTTGCTAATTGGTCACGAACACATCACGATGTAGTTAAGTTATCAATACAATAATGGGGAAAAATCAATTGTTGACCCGTCAACTTAGAATTATAAACAGAAGAATATTGCAAAGTTATGTGATAATTTAGAATATTGCAAAGTTATGTGAAAAAAAAAACAAGGAATAAAAACCAAAACTAGAGATGATTGAAAAAAAGAAATGATGATGATTTGGTTTAAAAACGCGCATGTACTGACAAAATACATGTATAACATTGTTGCAAAAGTCGCTTTAAGAGAATAAAGCTACTGTTAATGGTCTATATATAATTTAAATAAGGACAGCAGTTTATTAAAAAAATTAATAAATTTATTTCTTTAATTTTGATTCTGAAATTCAATTGTGAACATGTTTTAGGTCATACCATTTTGAAATATTAAATATAAGTACTTGAATATACAATGTACAGCTCAATCTCAATCAAAAAGTAAGAAATAATATCATAAAAAATAAATTAATTAATAAAAATAAATATGTAAATAGTAAATGTATAGATATATAAACATTAAATCATTAAAGTATATTACTATAATTAGACATAAGGGGTAAGTAATACAAGCACATGTACGTGCTAAATCTTAATAAATGATAGCATACATGTATCTCCCATTTTCCTTTTCTTTTCTTTTCTTTCTTTCTTTTTTTTTTCTTTTTTTCTTTTTTTTTTTTTTTTTAAATTTTTCCGAATAAAAAAACCCCAACTTTTTTTTTAAGGAAAACTGTTGTGTATTATTTACTCTAGTTGAATAAATTAGTGTAAATGAAGTGAACTCTAAACTTTGCAAACAACTATAAAAAAAAAAAAAGAAAGACAAAGTTACCTGTTTCATCCGCTTCTGAGAGTTTGGCTCGGTTTTCAGCTTGTATGTGGTCCTCATTCTCTTCCGCTTTTGACGATTCAGATCTCAGAATGGCGTCAATAGAGTGTAGAGTCATTCTACGTGCAGAAGCAGCTTTAACGTCATCATTAACATCAGTCAACATTTTTGTTATGTTCTTATAAAAGTTGTTTTCTTTCTGATCTGATGAAAATCAAAATCTACACAATACAACCCGGAGTGTTCAAAGAACGGAAGAGATTAAAGGATGTGTCAATGTTCATGTATCGATTGTTTAAATATGATAATAGAAAGGGCCATAAATTTCCTCCTTGTCAACTCCCTCTGATTTTAACATTTCTTGCATTGGTCGCTTGAAGTAGTTTAATCACTGGAACTTTGTGATTGACACAAAATAACCTCCTCAGTAACGCTTACAGGTAAAGCGAAATTGGTAAGTCTGTTCTTTTGAGGAAATGTTAAAATTCAATGTATTAAACCTTCAACAGTTTTACTCTGTGTATAAGTTTCGCTTTCACAACAAACCAATGAAAGAAATATAACTAAATAAAGCTGGCTTTTATTTATCTTTTTTCCCAGTTCATATTCAATCCGTATTTCCATTTATATTTTCCTTTTATCGTTAAAAAAATCGGGGGAAATGTAATTTTTATTTTTGTCAAATTAAAAGTCTTTTTTTAAAAACATGTTTCCAGAACAGGGAAATTGGCCATTAGAAGGACTATAAGAAGCGTTATGTCGATACTTCAGTAGCGCTCTTTCAGATATAATCTTAAAATATCAACAAATAATTTTTAGTTTAAATTTTACTTTAAATTTACTGCTGCTGTTAAAGCTCACAAAAATAAGTAGAACCAGCGACTTAAAGCAAAACTGTATTTATCCAATAATGTATCCACCTTTAAGAACATACGCAACGTACCTTACCTACTGATAATTTTTCAAGATATTCTTAATTTATGATTATAGTGCCATCAGATGTTCGTAGACAAAAAATCAGCATGCATTACCAGGGGTTTTAAAAAGATATCAATTGATGAAAATTCTTGTATAATTCAAAGAAAAATATACAAAAATTACTAAACATATATTCTAGATGTTTTGTTTATCCAAACTTGTTTTAGAAGAAGTGTACAACAGCATATATAGACATTAAATTGTAGCACACGGTTCCTTTAAGTATTGGAACTCTTCAACTCCAGGGGAAAAGACAATAAAGTTCAAACTACGTTGCGTATGTCCTTAATTCTTTAATGCTATTACTTACAACAATACATTGCCAGTATAAGTATTCAATCCATTTCTTGTTCTATCTGTTCTTTGTCATTATGATATTTTCTTTATCATATTTTCATTATATATTTTCTCTCCCCTCCCAATCTCTTTCTCCTACCTTGCTTTTTACCTTGTTCATCCCTCCCTTCCTACCTCTTTACATCATTGTATTTTTCATTTGAATTAATTCGTTTAACAGATCTTATCTACATTCCTCGGTCGACTTCTATTGAAGAATAAAATCAGTTAATAAATTTTAATTTTGATAAATTTCTCTTCAGTCTAAAATAATCGAAGGTATTCATGTCGATCTGGATACTGTTCTCAAAAGAGGGTATATTTTCATTTTTTTTTATACAAGTCAGGAAATTTATTGAAAAGTTATATTTCTATTTGAAATGCACTGTATAGTTGCTTTTGTCAAGATAAATCATTTTTAATAACAATTCTCCATATTTGACCAAATTTAACCAAAAAAAAAAAAGTGACTTCATGCTCTTCTTTACTGAAAGCCATCCTTAATTCGCGTGCGAGAAATATCCGCTAGTTTCGCGACTTTATTTTACTTGTGAATATTTCTCGTCACATACCATTTATAAGATTGTGTATTTATGTGGAATATTTCCTCAGTTGCTAAACTTAATAGTCACAGATGGATTTCAAACAGACGAGTCACGAAAAAAAGTTGTCACGAACAATAGATGGTTTAGATGTATGTGACATTATATAAATGATATTTTTACCTACTAACATAATTACACAGACTATTTTTTTTTTCATTGTTTTGATAAGAAATTGTTCCCTTAATAACAAATTTCACAGTAGTTAATGGAACACCATTTTGATTTGTTTAAACTTTACAAAATCAATGAACAGCTTTTCTTGCCCTAAATGATCATCTTTTATTTATTTATTTATTTATTTATTTATTTATTTATTTATTTATTATTATTATTATTTTAAAAGTTCATTTTAAATGATAATAATTTAATTCTGATTGTAACACGCCATTTGATTGGATAAAAAAAAAAATTACTTTACATCGTATAAAATGGGTTGCCTACGTGACAATGACTTGCGTCAAAAACGTATTGATCCTCCTGACGTTACATTTAAATTTTGTACAATTTGAAGTCATTTTTTAAGAGCAATCACCTTTTTTTCTTACACTTAATGAATGAAAATTAAATTATAAGGAATGACGTTAATAGCTACCCAATTTATACGGTATAAAGTGGGTTCGAACAGTTTACGCTTTTTTATAAACCTCTTCGCGGTTTATAAAGCGTAACTGCCCCAACCCACTTTATACTATATAAATTGGGTAGCTATTAAATTCATTCCTTAAATAATCATTTTTTAAAAGAATTAAATTTCATGTACTCATGGAGAACATACTTAATACAGGACAATGTAAAAAGTTTTTAGCTCTACTGGTCAGAGATCAGAAGACCTTATGCGATAGTAAGGTGACCGTCGTCTGTCCGTCTGTCTGTTTTTCTGTAATTTTTTTTTCAAAATGCTACCTACAGTTTTGGCCCGATTTCAGTATAACTTGGTATAGAAGTAGACTTCCCTAAGATACATTATTCTGTTTGTCGGTTTTTGATTTCGATGAACCGTTTTGCCATGATTACTAAGATTTGATTTTTTTTGTAAAATTCTATCAAAATGCTACTCCTTCTACAGTTTTTGTCTGATTTCAATATGATAACTTGCTTCACAAGTAGACTACACTAAGATAGGCAATTCCTTACATCTGTGTTTGATTTCAAGGAGTGGTGTTGTCATCGTTACTAAAATATAATTTTTAAAATAAATTCTTTCAAAATGCTACTCCTCCTACAGTTTTAGTTCGATATCAGCATAACTTCGTACACAAGTAGACTACACTATGATACAAAATCGTATATATCATTTTATTTTTATTTCGATACTGCCATGGTTACTAAAAATAGAAATTTTGTAAAATTCTTTCAAAATGCGACCCTCCTATAGTCAGTAAAACTTTTCACACAGTTAAATTACACTGAAATACATAATTCTGTTGATTTTGATGAATAGTGTTGCCATGGTTGCTAAATATTATTTATGAAGTTTTTTTCAAAACAGATTTTCTTACAGATTTAGTCAGATTGCAATAAAACTTGCCACACAAAGAGACTAAACCAAAGCCTCTTTATTCTACTAGTATTTATTGTCGTTATGATGGTGCTTCCCTTCACCTTCCTTTGTTATAAGTACAAACCATTAGAGCTACAGTCTCGTGAGAGACTTCTTGATTTTATTATTGTTTATCAATAATATCAATATCTACCATTTAAGCTTCGTAACTTACATAATTTATATCTTTTCTTAGGGGAAAGACTCCCAAATCATAAAAACGACAACGAGATTTAACACAAATTTCAAAACGTATATTTAATTTATAACTGTTGTAAACAATAAGCGTTTCCGGATTGTTTTAGAAATGTTTTTTGTGTGTCTTTTTCTCTCTCCCTCTCTGGTAATTTTACTAAATGTATTCGAAACAAACAGACAGTATGACGTTTTTACCATTAAAAAAAACCCCATAATGTTCTTACTTAAATTTGATATTGAGGCTTTGCAGTTAGGTACATAAATATCAACCTGGAAGGAGCCAATGCCCCCAATAGGGGAAGATACTCCACTTAATCGGGGTAGAAACTCCACTCTTGATGTACATGTAATTTTCGACTAAGCTATATCAGATCTAACGTTAAAAAAAGTGAAAAAGTTCATGTGTATTTACCAATATTTTTTTCGGTTTACCTACACCATCTCCTTTTTTGCAGATACGTGTACTTTCATGATTTTGTTATTCCAACATATATAATATATATGACACGTACGTATATTTTCTTCTTACGTTTGGCGAGAAGCGTCAGAATTTATCGTCCAGGCGAAACTCGCGAAGAATAATCACACATGATTGGACGTTAGTTTTCATTTTTACATCATCTCAATTTTGCCATCTTTTTTTTTTTTTAATTTTTGCAACACAGAAAAGGTTCATTTGTAATTTAGTATTTTGTTGAGTCGATTAAGCATTAAATTACAAATCACAGAAAATACGCATCAGCAGATATATCTGCTATACTCAAATTCATCCATATATACTTGTAGCAATCATAATACTAGAGAGAGAATTGTAAAAACAAGGGTGATTTATTAAGACTGTGATGACGTAGCTTCCTCTTAGTCTTATTAATTAGAAACATGATTCCAACATTATATGGTTAACCAAAGACATCAAATATAAAGACCTTCTCGACGGCCACAAAAGAGATTTTCAGAGATTTTTAATGCGATTTGAAGATGCAAAAACAAACGTTCTGATAAAGACAAGTTTTCATAATTTGAATTTTATACAAGAACCGTGACCACATTATTTACTTTAAAAACAAGAAAACTAACTTGAAACAAATAAAACTACAAGACGACCTATCCTTCCTTTAGCTTAATTTTTCTTTGTTTTATTCTCTCAATAAATCAGTTTTAGCAGATTGGTATATAAAAGATAAAACACCGCCATATATTTGCCATCACAAGCATTTATTTTCACTCGAAACGCTCTCCCGTCTCGCAATGTTCTAGCACAAAATGGCTACTTCAGAAAGTTAATACACACTTAAATTTAGAGCAATTTAACCGTAATTCTGCAGTTATTCCTATACTTTATCTACATTACAGACAACTCAATAGACCTTGTATGTTGAGCAAATATTCCCCCGGGGTAATTTATGGGGTATATTTTGAAAGTCAATGGGGATATATAGGCGTTTGTCTAACTTTCATATATATTCATTAAACAAGTATTTGGCTCGATTACGAGCAATTGAAGACGGCGTTTATGGCTTGTAGATAGCAAACGTGTTTTAATTCTCGATAAAGAGCGTATTTGTTTTCGTTTAAGGGTGCG